TGGGGGTTGGGGAAGGGGCCGAGCACGTGGCGCCTGCGGGACCACGTGGGGTCGGGCCTTGGGTTGGGGGCGCCGGGCCGGGCGGGGGGGGCGCTGCGCGCGCCTGGGCCCTGACACTGCCCGTGAGGGGAGGTGTGTACGTGTGTGCGCAGGTGTCTCGGTCCCGGGGCTGTGCGTGGAACACATAGATACCCCGAAATAGACACGTCCGTGTGCAGCTACCAGATGAGGACGTGTAGACGCGGGGAGCTGTCGGAGTGTGTCCAAAGAACCTTGTCCGCACACGTGCGTGTGTGTGCCTGTATAGATGCGTGCATGTGTGTGTGTGTGTGCATCCATGCATGTCTATAAATGCACACGTGTGTACGTGTATATGCGTGTGTAGATATGTATGTAGATATATGTATGTGTATATAATACATGGTGTGTATGTGTATATGTGTATAGATGCATGTGTGTGCGTATGTTGCGTGTGTGTAGATGCATGTGTATGCGTGTGTATATGTGCATGTGTGTAGATGCGTGTGTTGATGCATATTGGTCTAATAAAAGATCAAATTCACCCAAGGAAACTTGTCTGCCTGTATTTTGATGCATGTGTGTGTGTTGATGTGTGTGTATGTGCATGTGCATATATATATATATATAGATGAGTGTGCATGTGCATCTATATGAGTGTATGTGTGTATTAACTACGTGGGGGACACACGTAGGTGTAGATATGTACACACACTTGCACACCGATGAGGGCTCACTCTCCCTGCGAATCCGTGGACGGGACATGATTTGAAAGTGCGAAGGTTTCCTCAGGGAGGGGGTCGCCGTCCGCAGTCTGAAGGGGGGGAGGTGCACCTTACAGACTAACCAGTTGCTATAAAGGGGCTTTTGTAGCACTTGGAGAAGTGAGCTGCTGGTTGTGAAAGCTTCTCCAAGGCTTAACTCAGCCCTGCCTTCTGCCAGACGTGATCCTGGATGGAGTAGCCAAGTACCATTACTGACTTCGGGAGCGGCTTGTGCAGATGAGCCCTCCGCAGGGATTTATCCTGCCGCCCAGCACCGTAGGAGCTAAATCCCTTCTACGTAAAATCAGCTGCTATAGTGATGTTCATAAGAGAAGTCATAGCACAATTCACCGGCAGAGTCTATATATGCCTGAAGAAGGGTGTTTGTGCCCAAAAGCTCACAAAGAGCAATTTTTCCAACTATTTAGTCGGTCTAATAACAGACCTCACATCTACCCAAAGAACGTAGCCTGTTCATAGCTTCTTGGCACTTTGGGGGAGGAAGGGGTCAGATTTCGTCGGTATAGATACATTTTTTCCTTTTGCTTGATAAGAATTTGGGAATAAAAGATCGGTTTTCCCTCCTCCTTTCCCACCCCTCTCGTTCATGATTTCCTTCAGTTTCTACTCCTCTTATTCTTCCTTTTATTTTTGCCTCTTCCTCCAGGAAGACAGGTCTGGTGCGAGTCCTGCTCACCTCCAATGGCAATTAATGCGGAAGAGTCCTGAGTTCAGATAGCCAAAAAAACCCCCGAGAGGAGTCTTTGATCTAGTAAATGCCCTTTGCTACCACATGTTTATGGAAAACACACCCGGCTCCCGGAGCAGCCCATGGAAATCCCACAAGTGTTGGCTGACAACACAAAAGCTATTAATTGCTACTACCTCGGGAACAACCCAGATCAAAGAGCGGTTGTGCAGGGCCTGTATATGCTCATAGTAAGAGACAGTTCCTCCTTCAAATGCTGTGAAATTTTACTCTCACTTAGCAGTAGTTTTATTTTAACCGTCTAATCTCTTTAATCTCTAACAAACCTGCTGTGTCAATCTGTAACCTGCTTTATTAAGCCGTATCGATCACTAGCAAACCTGCTCTGGGTAGTTCACATCAATTCATTTTCTGTAAAATTGGGTGTGTGGACATGCTAGTCTGCCTGCAATCTGAGATGCGTCCTCCGTACCACGCGGTGTGCTGGAAGCCAGCCGTGTAACCGCCTAACCCCAAAACAATACAGTAAAGGCAGCATGATAGGAGCACGCAGTTTGCATCTGCTTTGTCTTGCAAATATCAGAAAAGTCAGCAAAGAGCTGGAGTTTCCATGGCTGCCAGTGGGGATTTCCCAATGGTGGGGGTTGCGTTCAGAATGGCTAATTTAGAAATCATGCAAGCAGGCTTTGGGGTTTTTTTTGACCAAAATGCCATAGAGGTGGTCCCCACGGCCCACGGAGGGGAGGGGTGAAGTCTTTCATGCTTCTAGCAGCTCTTGCTCTTGGTGGATTCTGCCAGTGGGAGAAGGTGAATCTAGGCCCTACCCAGTAAAACGATGATGTGTCCACACCTGGAGCAACTGTGTAGCCCAGCCCCTGCCTCCAAGTTACACCTGCCCTTGCAGAGCAGAGCATAGCAAGGCCTTGGCTTCCCCAGGCTGCTTCGGTGGCCGGTTCTGCCGGCACCTGCCCCAGCATTTGTACATCCACATGACTCCTGCCAGGGGACAATGACTTGTTACCGGCATATATAGATGTGCAAAACTCTAGAGCTCTTAGTTCAGAGATAATACCTTTTATTAGACCAGCTAAGACATTGCAAAAAACCCCCAAACCATGGAGACCCCATGCTCCCCATAGGAGCAGGGTGGCAGCCAGAGAGGGGGGCCGGGCTAGGTGGGAAGACTGTGTCCTCAGTCAGTTATTCACTCACGGGCTGCTTGGAAGAGGGGCTGTGCCATGTGCTTGGGGACTAACAAATTGCCCTTGGCCTTCATGCAGCGACTCATGAATCACCTTAGCCTGAGAGGGCATCTTGGTGCACATGTAGGCAAGGTATCCAGGTTGTAGCCGTATTGGTCTAGAGGCAATCAGGACTCGTAGAGGCGATATCTTTTATTAGACCAACTAGATTTTTTTTGCAAAAAAAATTCCTTTCCTTGCAAGCTTACGGGCACAAACACCCGTCCTCAGGCATCGGAGAAAAGACTGTCAAATTCTCCCAGGTTGCAATGAAAGTTCATATTTCCTAGGAGAGTTAAAGGTGTGGTAAAATCTCCGGTTTGGCACCGTTCATTTTATGCAGGTTAGGCTCAGAGAAACGTTGGAATAGTCTGTTTGCCTCAAAGTTATCTGGGGGCAAGCAGGAGGCAGTCGTATTTCCTTCGGGTTGTGCCGTTTCATGTTTCACAGAGCAGTAAAAAGACGGAATGCTTTTCCCGGCAGGTACTTGTCGGTGAAATATGAAACGGTATTTTTTCAGCAGTCAAAAAGAAAGCTTTTCAGCCCTCAGAAATCAAGCTTGAAGGGTGCCTTGAGTCTAGCGAGGGGACCTTGAGTCTGCAAATTGCCCTGCCTCTGGCAGCCCCAGGCCCACGCCGCGAGGGCTCAGGACCGCGGTCATGTCGTGCCCACCTCGAGAGGATGGATGTCGACATCAAGAGCTGGCAGGAGCAGGCTGTGATGCAGCCCCAGCGGTGCCACAACCTCAACCAAGTGGCAGCCGGTTTCGAGGTAAAGCATCTTGCCCTTGAAGCAGAGAAGAGAGAACGGAGGAAGGAAAGGGAGAGCAGTCCCAGCCGGCAGCCTACTCTCCCCTGCAGAAAACCTGCA